AGAGCAAAATGTAGATTGGAATATCGAAGCAAATTCAAGCAGAAGGTGGGGAATTCATTTAGAGTGGTGTTAGGAGAATAACGAGTGGATGAATGAGCACCACTGTTCGCGACACCCAGCCATATCACTATGTGTCTCTAACCATCGGTTACGATCATCCCGAGGTCCCCAAACAGGGAGCCTGGTTAGGGTTTTCATACTCTCATGCCAGGTCTTAGTTTGACCACCCTTTATCTCTTATTCCAATCGCTACCAGCCTTGGCCAACATCGTTCGCCGCGGCAACCTATCTGGCGACCTACGTAACACATGTCCCACCCAACGTAATCTATGGAGTTCGACTATTTGCTCCAGTGAAAGATCGTGACTAACTAAACCTCAGCATTGCTCACAGCTTGCTTGCAAAAATATAAGTGCTACCTACGGGTTGAGGGCGAAAGTCCATTTTATCTTATAAATGTAAAGCTATGCTTGATCCATATCAACACAACCAATTTAGAGAAATAACTGGACCATGTGTGAGTGAAGTTTGGGAACGCCTGTTGAAACTTGACACATCAATTTGAAAACCCTTTCAGATATAGACTACTATAGTGCTTATCAGTAGTCGGCGCGAATTTCAGTTACTCACAAGTATGGGTAAAAATAATCTCACAAACTCCAAAACCGTCAGACCCGATTTGAGAACACAGACGAACTGGACAAACAAACAGCGTTCTATCTACTACCAGATTTTTGGGAAGTGGAAACATTTTAATTGAACCTGACTAACCGAGTGCGTCTCTGTCCAAGCGTGCACTCAAACTGTTTATTGTAAACATAATTACTTAGGGGAGGACATTGATTCAAAAACAATGGTGATCAAATGTGTTCACCGTGTGTGTTTGTGATGTACACGTATACATATATACGCCGGGGAAGAAAAATACACAAATCTCTTCAGCGGAAACGGATCATCGATCCGAAAACAGGTGAGTGAGGACTATGTGAGTAATCCGTTTGATCCGTTGAAGCTGATTATCAGTGAAGCTCTAATAATACATAAAGCATTTAACTCACAGTTACTTGTGAGTAGTTTGTGTGGAATATGTTTTTATTGATTGATTTGAATGGACTATCCTTCGGATTCCGCCCTCACGCACAATCGTCATTTCATCGATTCAACCATACATGCGCAAGTGCCAGACTCAAGATTTGCTCTTATCAGAGAGAGCTTATCAGTAGTGCATATCCGTCGTCTTTTCCCGGGGTTTTGTACTCCGGACTCATCACATGGAACGTGCAAGTGCGTTACCGCTATGCCAACCAGCTCATATCTGAAAGCAATACGTTCACACAATGAACAGTTATACTACTTGTGCCACAAGTAATTTTAATGACACCAAACTGAATACACTAAAGTGAATCCGAGTTTTATCAAGTGACAGAAGATGCAATCACAGCTTAGTCTGGTATCAGCTTCATCAGCACAAGAAGGACAATCTCTGGATTGCAGAGTGACGTCAACGATTGAAAAAATTGTTAAATTAGGTCAACTCAAGAAAATAACACCAACTCATTTAGGAATCATCCAATCCTAGACAAGATTAACTTCCCTTATCATTCAAAATCAGATCTTTGGAAAAAAAATAATAAACTTTAGTTTGAGCTCGAGAATAATAATTCAGTTCAATTCAATTACAATTCTGCTTTCATTGTGCTCAAAATGGACACTGTTTATCAGTATGGGATGATGATAAAAAGTGGGGATGAGGAAGAAGTAATGCGAGATGTGCTTGTCTAGGAGCATTCAGTTTATCATATCTTTATTATTCTACTAGGTTTGGTTTCTCTTCTGTTTGAATCTGTTTCAATTTTTCTTTTCTGTGCCAAAAATCTGTTGTCATCACACATTTATTGAAATTGAGATGGGATCTGATAAATAAACGATACCGGAGGTGGGAGAAGTGATAACCAGATGTTCTATCTCGACCAACCACACGACGACTGAACATGGGTTCGCCTCATGTTCATGATATGCTGGTTGTTCTTGTGTCTTTACTCTACCCGTCTAACTTCATCTCGGCTCTGTAACTGTACTCTGGTTCTTTTCATATGCCTGTTCCGTTACCCGTCGAACACAGTTCCAGGCAATGCAACGACACGGTGCAGCTTGGGCAGATTCACTGCGCTATCGTCATCCGAATTTGGATCAGTTGGCAGGATTGCGTCGTATCACCTTGAACGACAATCCGCGAATCGGTGATGCCGGATCGATCAGTATGGCCGAGGCGTTGGCGGATGATCTGTGGATCAAAGCCGTCGAT